CACACACACACACACACACACACTCACACACACACTAACGAAGTAGAGCAAGGAGGTGCTGAAGGAATAAGGATGACTAATGAGTTCACTACAGGGAGAAGATGGAGGGCAGGAAAAACACAGAAGAGAGGAAAATCAAGATATCGAGAGAATGAAAGCAATGACGAAAATGGAAGCGGGAAGGGAAAAGGTTGGCCTGGTGACAAAATAAATGAACACATTTTTAAAGTAATCCCTTATAAGAGGTGTATTCAGTATCTTAGTGATATTAAACTGCACAAAGCTGTGATCTTCATTCTTTAAGGGATGTGTCAGTTGACAAATGTTGAATTTTACATTGTTGCAGCGTCTAGTGAAACTGACAAAAAACATCTTTATAAACTACACTGATGTGCAGGACTGGAATTGTTTTTCTAAATTTGGCCGTGATAAGATTCAGGTTACTTCTCAAATATCTGTCATCATCTTACAGAAAAGTTAATAAAGTATGATAGAGTGCGTAAACATTGTGTGCTTTGGTTGGCTGCACATGTTCACTTTAACATCTGTAAAACCTATTCCAGCCTCTTTATGTAAATTCATAAAGGTACATATGGATCAAATGAAATATTTAACCATCTCATTTTATGAAACCTGTTGGCTTTGCCGATGTAGCCTTAATACAAATCTTGTTACTTTTTAACTGTAACAATTTGTTACCATGTTACCCGACGGGCATTATTATGCAGTGTGTTGGTGCATGTACAAAGACTTATGTGCGTGAGTGTGTGTATTGTCCGCGTGTTTCTTTAGCTATTTTTAACTCACTGACTTCAATGTCATCATCTCCCCTGTGACCTATGAGACTCACCCATCCACTGACAATACTCCATTGTCTATTAGAGGAACAGAGACTCAGACACACAGAGTTCACAGCGAGGACACTTTAATCTCCACTGTGGACTTGAATCAAACATGAGCTGTTAGCGTGTGTCCCGTCGCCTTCCAGTCTCTTCTTGTCCTGGAAGGTCGACAACATTTGGATCCACATTGATCACACCCAGGCAGCTCTGTCAGAGACTGATGTTGTTGAAGTGGGAATAGAAAGGCAAAAAACAAAAGCCCTTTTGTTCACACTAACCCTGTTTTGACCTGACAAATCACACAATCCGAGGATGTGGCCAGTGTTCACCAGGCGAACTTGACTAACTGTTGAGTGACGAAGAAAGAACCACTCAGTTCATTTTAATTGCTTCCTTACTTCGTCAGTGCTGGAGTCAGGAGAAGGGATTTGACAGCGGTTTCTTTTACACTTTTATATTTTATTGCTGAACTTAAAGGTTTTTGTTTCTTGTGTGACTTATATTAAAGTGTGTTAAATATTTTTCACTGCAAAAAAATGCATCTGACACCAGATACAAATGAAAAGGTTTCATAAAGAAGGTGTTTGTTCTGATGGACGTATCAGTTGGCGAAGTGAAGACATTCTTACATTGAAATGTCATGAATGATGATTTTATATAATGACTTGGTCAGTATTTGTTGAGGGAATGTTAATGACACACGGGCCATAAAAAAGGTCTTATATCAGCAATCAGCATTATTTTTCTGTTGATAACGTTTGGATTTTTAAATGTATTTTTTATTTGATAACAGTGATACGCACTGTTTTCTTTTATTACTCTGATGGTTGCTCAATATGGCTCTCATAGTCGAGCTGCACCAGGGACCGAGGGGAAACTTGTCTCAACTCTGGCATCTGCTCTGATCCTGAAATTGCTTGTTTCTGAGACAGTGTCTTATCTCTCACAGACACAGAGTTCACTGGTAGGACATATACATTTTTGGGAGCTCACCTGCACCATAAGACCTCAAATAGACAAGCATTCAATTTCAAGCAGCAGCTGGCTTGAATGGGTTTTCACAAATGACTGCTTATGACCAAAGAACGTTTGCTGCTTGTTTCCTCTTCAACAACTGTTGTTGGTCACGTTATTGGTTGTGTTTCCATTGGGTGGCTTTGTCATTGTGTTGTGGCTTTTACATTCTGTTAATGCGCTTGTGTGATGGTAATGGACTCTTTGTCCCTCAGATCACAAACTAAAAACATTCAAACTAATGTATGAGGAGCAATTACCTTTTAATGATCCACAGTCTTATTACCTATTCCAATGGAAGAAAAGCAAGCATTAACGTGATGCTTATTCACATTCACATTCACTGTGCAGAGGGCAACATTTGTATTTGGGGCTAAATTTGTATTATTGAAGACATCCTGCTTTAATATAACCATGTGTCTATTTCCTCTCCAGCATGTGTTCACAATGGACCCAACCAATGTGGAGAATGGACGAGGGAAAGTTCCTCATGATCCCAGCCTCCCCTTTACTAGCACCTTCAGTGGTACGTCCCATGTTTATATTTCTAAACTGTGAACTGAATATGTTTTATTGAAATAGCTTGAATATAAGATCCAAAGAGGTTGAAACACATGGTGGATTGTGTGCATGTGTCAACCTTCACAAAGTAAAACTTGCTTTGACAAATGTCAGATTTATGTCCTCTCTGTTGCTTTGTGTTCTTTATCTGCCATGTTCAACTATTTAAAATGACATACACAGATTGTCTGTTTCCACACCTTTCACCCCATCTCTGCTGGATGTTGAAATGATAATAACCCCAAGAAAAACAACTAAGGTGAACTTCTTTGGCTCTGGCAAATGTACACATGTGCACACGCTCTCTGTAGATTAGGTTAAATAATTCTGGGCGTTTCTCTCAAGATGTCATTAGGTATTTAGCTTGTGAAAGGATGCTGATTTATATCAGTGAATTCTCTCTCTCTCTTTCTGTGTGTGTGTGTGTGTGTGTTTGCGACCCACCACCTTCCTCTCGCTGCAGCTGGATGATTTCAGGATCAGAATTTATCCCAATGCATAGTATTTGGCAGGAAAGTGTTAAAATGAAGCCAAAATCCTGAGTAGTCTGGACCTCAGCTGAGATGTACAGTTGTCACATAGATACAGAACAGCACACACAAACCTGCTGAGGAAGGCTGCTGGCTCTGGAGCATCGTAGAGATTTAGACGTACAGTATAATGACAGATGTAGAGCGATCCAAAGCTATAAGCTATAGAATGGTGTAAATTGCATATGAGCAGATGGTAATTTGTTCAAGGTTTCTTCACCTGCACCAGTTCACTTGTTCCTCCCGCTAGATCGTGGAAAATGCTGAATCAGGTTGTGTAAGATAATCTAACGCCTCGAGTTTAAGCTCCTGTTACACGACTGTCCTTGAGTCTGACAGACTTCCCATACTCCCAGTTTGTATTCTGTGTGTCTGACACTGAACACTGACCTCTTTATGGATTTTTCCTCTCAGGGATCAATGGGTTACAAAAAGCCAAAGGCCTCTTTTCTGCATAATGCACTCCTATTTCCATCCTCTTTCCGTCCTCCCGCCAGATCTTACCTAAGCCCGAAGTAACAACACAACAATTCTGTACTTATGGAACAATGTATTTAGTGTCAACAATTGTTTAACATTGTTTTAACAAGTAATATCTAAGTAGGAATATCTAAGTAGTATCTTGGCTCAAGTTGGACTAAGGCCAAAACTACAAACATAACAATCTAATCTCAATATAATACATCCAAATATGAACAAATCAAATTGAAATAACCTAACTAATCTTTCCAACAATCAAAAACAGGAGAACACGTGAGATGAAATGAAAAAGTACGTTTACCCCTAATGACTCTCAAACTCAAAAACCAGCAGAATGCAGAATCAGGCAGGACGTGCAGCTTAACACCATCCTCTTTGGTCTTCTCATAGGTAGCAGCAGGCCAATCGGCTGCAAGGTATACCGTAGTCCACCAATCATAACATGCATCATCACATGAAATGCAGGCCAACTTTCACCATGAGGGGTAAAATAGAAAATGTATCCACCACAGACAAACGACTGCAGGCATGCTGAAAGAGACTGATCATCTCATTACAACACAAAATGAAAAAACTGAAGAGAAAAGGTTTTGCCAAAAATAAAAAGGTAAAACTTGATGAAAGTAATTGTTATCGTCAGCTATGAACCCAGTGATGTTTCCCACTCTAAGACTTGTCTTCAGTGTCAGGATCTTCAGCCAAAACATACAAAGTGGAACTCCCCAGGCGCTGTCACTTATTTCTCTGTCTGTTTTTGTCTGCGTGTGTGAATATGTTATCCGACAAGTGTGTCTGTTCACAAGCTAGACGATGATGCGTATGTTTCTAATACCATTAATGCAGCTAAATGAGATAAGAAGAATTTACACCCATGAGATCACAGGGGAGTCATCCGTGGCCAGATTCTGTTTCTACAACAGCAACAATGCCAGGAAAAAAATTAGAAACAGTTGTATTATGTTAATAAAAAAAACAACTGGGCTTATAGCGAAAAACTATCTCTCATAATTCTTCATTATCTGACAGGTATTGTAGTGATTCCTATCATGAGCTGTTTCCAAGCCAGCTGAGGCTGCTGTCTCAGCTAATGACAGATAAGCGTGACTGCTAAAGGTTGTTCCAGCATCACGTAAGAAACGTGGCGCGAGACAGATACGGTATTTTATTTCGACTTGCTGAGAAATCTGTTTTCTCAATTGCTGAAATTGAAAGTGAGTCCACTGCTGATGGTGTCAGTCTCAGTGGAGGATGTCTCGTATAAGAGTGTGTGAGCTGTGGTTTCACATTACTCTCTCAGTTTGTTCTATTATGGATTTGTCCAATTTCTTTTCTTCTGCCTCATTTGCCTGAACCACAATTTTTTTTCTCTCTCACCCGTGATTTCCTTATTGGTCTTCAGTGCCAATCTTTTTTATTCCTCCTAATCTCCTTTCCTTCATTGCTGCTGTTATTTTACACGTCTTCTTCCCTTCGACATTTGTGTAATATTTTTAACACTCATGCCTCTCTGCAGGTGGAGAGCTGTATACAGGTCTGACGGCAGATTTCCTGGGAAGAGACTCAGTGATCCTCAGGAGTATGGGAGGTCGCTCCACGATGAGGACAGAGACTGATGAGAAACTTCTGCATGGTAACGCTTCACTATTTCAGTCAACACACAAAATAAATTCTCATATTACAGAAATACGGAAAAGCTGCCTTTAATCAGTTCCTAATGTTTCTTAATTTTCAAATGAGCTCACATTTAGGTTCATTTTTACGAGTGAGAGTTTCTATAGTCACATGCTGTTTAATACACTGTACCTTATTCACAACCTTAATCAACACCAGACCAGAATATGATGCTCCATTAAACCACTTACACTTTGAGGGGTTAGGGAATGCAGTTGTTAAAGTCAAATTTTGGCAATAAAAACAATAAAATAATTGATCTCCCCCTGCAGACCCTAAATTCATTGCCGCCCACCTCATCCCGGACAACGACGACAGAGACGACGATAAAGTATATTTCTTCTTCACTGAGAAAGTCACGGAGGCAGGGGACAGGGAGGGGGCCATACACTCACGTGTGGGACGAGTGTGTGCGGTAAGATATTTAAACTGTTTGTGTATTTGTGGGTCAGTGCACATTCATTTGTGTTCTCGCAGGCAGTCCCTGTGGATAATGTCCGGAGATTATCCGGAGTTCAGTGCATGTCTGACAGCAGCTGAGGACTTCAGCCGCCACTTTTTCAAAGGAGATTTATTTTATTTGAGGTGCTAAAAGCATCAAAGGTTCCCTATGATTTTCTAGAGATGTTATCCCACATGCCCAGGGTAAGACCTCAGTTACAGTATTCTGATGCACACAGAGAGAGAGTGAGAGATAGATGGGAGTAAGTGAAGCCAGATGTTCAGGTGAGCTGCACAATACACTTCTTTAAAACTTCATCCAGTCCCTGAGAGGAGACATCTGCAGGGGTGTTCCACTTGAAGATGAGGTTGTAGAGTTGTGATCTGGGAGAGTCTCTGAGGCTCTTTGGGGCTTTTTTGTTTTCTGGTAGATCCATTAGATATCCCAAAATCTGACTCTACAGCAGGTCTTTCAGTGTGATGTATAGTTTTACACTGTGGGATTAACTTCCCAGGACAGGAGGTAATGGTTTTAATGATTTTTCGTCTCACTGTGTCAGTTCCAAACCCTTTGCATGGAAGAGACAAATGTCTGGGTCAATCAAATATTTACATTTCCCCATAGGCCTGTGAAGGCATCGTAATATAAGGAATTATATGAATCCTTTCTCCTTCCAAATTGCAAACAGGCTTCAAATTTCCCAACCAAAATCCCCATCTGCCATGTACACCAATTTTATTATGCATTGTGTTCATCACGCACGATCACAGGTGTGCTTACAAAGCTACAAGCAAATTGCTGGATTTCCTCAGAGACTGTTCGACTCTGCCAGAAAAGTTTACACAAACTTCTTAGACAAAATCCATCCTCAACTTTCAAATGATAAAGTTCTTTCAACCCAGTCTCCATCTCCACTCCCCTGCTTTCTCTCCATCTGTCTCCCCTTCTCTCCTGATATATATGTTATAGCATTTCCCCCTCAGCCTTATTTTTCTCCCTCAGGCGAATCTGAACAGTTTTTAATCCCTCCCCTTGCGGTGATTCTTGCCAGGAAGCCAATTTTCTTATCACTGTTGACACACACATGCATACAAAGAAGATTTCCATGTAAGGTATCATGGATATATATATATATATTGTCTTACACATATAACAAGCAATTACAGGTAATAAAGGGGGGGCAATGTGCACACACATGTGAGTCCTTCCTTGTAGTCTGTACTGCAGCCATACACTTTGGGGCATCTTCAGCTTGTTAAAGTGTCCTTGGGCAAAATACTGATCCACAAAATTGTCCCTTCTCATAGAGAAAGTGCTGCACACAGACAAACTGTGTGAATGTATGTGTGAATGGTTGAATGGCAAAAGAAACTGTGCTGTAATGTGCTTTGAGCTATCATCAAGACTAGAAAAGCACTAAATAAATGCACACCATTTACCATTCTCTTCTAGCTTGTTTCAGAACTTTTCCTTTCAGACAGAACATTAAGTACAGAGCCAAAACAATAAAAATGTGGATTTGAAAATAAATATGCAGCTGTGTTTTATAGGTTTTAATCCATTTTTTTTAAATCAGAATGATGTTGGAGGCCAGAGAGTGCTGGTGAACAAGTGGAGTACCTTCATCAAAGCCAGACTGGTTTGTTCTGTACCAGGACCTCATGGCATCGACACACACTTCAACCAACTGGGTAAGATACACACAATCTGTTTAAATATTATTTTGTAATGACACATGCAATTACTTGCAGCAGTGGTTCATATGCACGCACACACACACACACACACACACACACACACACACACACACACACACACTAACTGGAATTGTCTTTTTATGTAAAAAAGAGGATGTTTTCCTCCTGAGGACTAAGGATGAGAGGAACCCAGATGTGTATGCAATCTTCAGCACTATCAGGTAAAACTCTTTACCTTTTAGATCTTCTCTTCTTCAATATGTATGTTGTAAATCCTCTTTCTTCCTCTTTTGTCTGACTCTCACATTTCTTGTAAAGAAAAATGTTGAAGTCATTTGTGGACATCTCTCCTTTCTCCTCCACAGCAATGTGTTCTCGGGATTTGCTGTGTGTGTTTACCGTATGGCTGACATCAGAGAAGCCTTCAATGGACCCTTTGCTCATAAAGAGGGTCCCGACTACCAGTGGGGTGCTTATGAAGGCAGAGTCCCATATCCAAGACCAGGGGTGGTGAGTGATTTTTCACTTCGCATGACCTATATATAGCATAATAAATGTGTCGGCTTTGGAACACTATAAGAAGATATAGTATGTATACTAGAGTTAAAATGCTGATGATACTTTATCAACTAGATTAATTAGTGGATGTCCAGAATGATTTACAATTCAATAAACAAGACTGGGTCCCAAATTTTTTTTAAAAAGATTATGTATTTATTATTTATTATTAGGGAGTTGTCAATGATATTAATTGTTAATTTACTGTGATCAATAATGCTCATTGGTTTTCTTGCGTCATGCTTCCCTCATTAAACAGTAAAACGCAAAATTCGCATCTATCATGTCGCAACATTCATGTTATACACACCATTCGCGATGGGCAACGTCTATTTTGCTCTTGGCATTGACATTGCAATATCATCTCATGGCAAATTTGCATTGCGTTTGGTGTGAACGCACCATTAGAAGCTTGTTGCTTGAATCCAGGTTGCTTGCTGGAGCACAGGAGTGAAAAAAGCTGTGTGTTATAAAAACTCTAAAAATAAGGTGAAGAAAGTTTCCCTATCAGTCAAGTCAAGTATTTTATGTGCTGGTGCAGCTGTGGTGAGTGTATACAGTACAGACCGTCTTCTGGTTTACATCCACGCTCTCAGCGGAGATCTGTCATGTTCTCTCAACCACATCACTGAAATTCAGACTCGTTCTACACACAAACAGACTCGTTTAGGCAACACACACACACACACGAGCACGTCACCCTCATTAGCAGAGACGGAGAGAGCATGGAGGCAGAAGGAATATGAATAATGTGAGAAGAGAGCAGACACCTCTGTGGTTTCACTCCACTGACTCCCTGATTAACAGGAATGTCTTGGCCTGAAACTGAGAGAAAGAGAGAAGGAAGGAAGAAATGGAGGAAGCAAGAAAAAGAGGTGATGAGTGGGGGGTAGGCAATGGGAAGAAGAGAGGGGAAGACGAGTGGAAGGAGAAGATAAAGAGTCAGTTAATTGTTGTTTGTTGTTTCTGTCTCAAATACACCAGACAAAACATTCAAGTCCTCTCTTATTTCTCTGGATTTTCAATATAACAGATTTCGGCTTGATGATACCGATCCATCATGTTTCCTAAGTCGCTTTAGGAAAGAGTTATTTGAGACATTTTGTGAATGTAGCCTCCCTGGACATTTGTCTTGGATGGAAATATCAGAGTACATTGTTTAAACTTGTGTCAAAACTAATCTTGTAACAGACTGAGTGATGGGATACTACAGATTTACCAGCTCTTAAGTAATCCTACCAGGACCTTGGCTCAACATTTCATTCATCTCTGTACTTTGTTGTATTGTTCTGCTGGTCTGTGTCATTACATTGACATTGTAAAACAACATTTTTTCACTTGTTTTCTGACACAGAGCACTGGGTTACGTTCAGGGAGCGTCCACGTTGACTTCAGACACAATGTGTATCAACGTTTAACCAAAACCATCAGGTAGAGAGAAAGGTTTTTACCCACAAGCCATCAGGCTACTGTTAACGCTGGGCACCACTCTACAGTAACACATAGTATACACATACATCTACTACTCCCCCCCTCAGCAGATCATGAAGGATGGGGACATTGTTGTAGTCACAAACTTGTCGCACTTGTCCATCTTGGAAGCTTGAGCAGAATTCTGAATGCACCATGACATGTCACCTGAACCTTTTGCAGTTTTGCATGACTGTGTGCTCTGTAACATGAAATATTAAGGCTCTTAAAAGTGATATTTTAACATCATTGCTCTACTTCAAGTATATGATTGATCTTGAAATCTAGTTGAAAGATGTTGAAACCATGATCCAGTCTTAACATAAACCATTCACAAATGTCAGTCTCTTTTTTGAAAAAGACAAAATAAATAATATCTTAGTGGTCTTTTCTTATGTTATGTTGATATTGTAGTACTTTTTTAAATGTCAAACACCATAAGACCCAAAAATATCAATACCTGTATTACATTACTTTACAGTTTTTACATGCACATGTCAGATTTTGTAGCTGACAATTATATTCTATTAGTCAGAGAAAACCCTGGTATGATTATGGTGCTGTGTTTCTGTTTAATATGAACAGTAAGTGAATAATCCCATATTTGGTGATATAAAGAATGTTTTGGTCTCAAGTGCAAATGACTGAAATCCCAGTCAGAGGGGTGCAGTAGATGTAGAAATGAGGAAAGTCATTTCCCAGCATATCAGCCAATCTCCTGTTCTGGGTCTGTTTGTTGAAATGGATCAATGTCTTATTTGCAGCAGAGGAGGGCTTACACATTTCATACCGTGCCTGTAACACACATAAACAGAAACAGACAAGAGTAACATCCACATCCACAGTGATACTGGAGTCAAATAGTTGTCTGCCAAATATGCTCACCCTTTCTCCCTCTCATTAATTCTCACATGGCTCGAAGTTGGTAATTGAAAGCAGTCGACGTGCTGCAGCAAAAGTTTGGATGAGTTGAGAATAGACTCTGGAGCTATTCCAGTTTACGTTTTATGAGCAAACAGATAATGAGGAGTGTGGCGAGCTGTTTTGAAGCAACCTGACATATCAAAGATGTGCACTGGGAGCTGCATGAGTGAGTGTGTAACTGTGTGAAAGTTGAGCAGATCTGATATAAATACATGGAAAGTTCAGTTCCAAAATGAAAGTGTAAACGATCATGCTTTCTGTTTTTTCTTTGTGCATGTTAAAAATAACAATTACATTGATTTTGCATACAGATTCCCTACTGATTGGGGAGCGCATGCATGCATGCTTGAACCCCATTTGAATTATATACATCGCAATACATGCACCACTTATCATTAAAAACTAATTGCAAACAAATTGCAAACAAATGTATTTGTCCGGGAAGCATTTGAAGTTAGTGAGTTTGAGAATTGAGCTCAGGTTTGCTCGCACATTCCACATCCTCTGCAATAACGTGATGCTGTGTAGTGAAGCATATACTCAGAGGAACGTTCTATACATCAAAACGTTGGTGCATATTTGAGTGTAACCTCCCTGCATAGTTCAAGCCCCCTCACCGAAATTGAAACCAGACCATTAGAGGGCTATTGTGTGGATTAGTTACTGTTGTTATAAGGCAAAGTAACAGTATTTATACCATATGGAAATATAGTTTGGAAAAGCAATATCACGCAAATAAAAAAGTTTTATATAAATATTTGACCTGCTGATTTAAGCTGATCAAACGGCGAACTGCTTTCTCTTCTGTGTAAGATGATCTATCACAAGTAAATGTCCCATTTCTTTGTCTCAATTCACATCAAAGTTGCTTCATTACTCTTACATATGCTTTCATTTTAATCAGTCACTGCTACTTTTTTTTATTAAAAGAAGTTATGTCACCCAAATCCCTGTGTCCTCAACCTTCCCCTTCTGTTCATGTCAGCTCTTCAGGTCTAACCCAAAACAACACATCATCTCTGTTCTCAGAGATTTTCTTCTCTGGTGTTTGACGGATGGTTCGTGGAGACTTTATCACCACCTACTGGCCTGGCATGCTTGTTTGTAGTCGTCTGGACTGAGATATTTTGTAAAACTAAGATTTTGTGAATGGAGTTTTTTTTTCGTAAACCAAGGGGACAATATTCGCAGTACACAAAGGCTTGAGTCTTGCCTGACTCTGAGAAATCAAATCAGATTTTGTCAATAGCCGCAGCTCTCCTGTGTATTTCCAGATGATATGCCAGAAGTCAACCTTAACAGCACCCTCTGAGTAATTGACGTCAGTCAGATAAAATTTCAAGTTACCACATCCTTTATTTGTGACACAATGAGTAACTGCAGGACAACCATGAATGAAGAAATTATATTCTGAAGGGAATACATCTGTTAGTACGTCGTCAGTGAATGACCAGACAAACATCACATCATGGTGGTTTTTGCCACCAGCAGAGACAATAGAGCCATTTGCTTCTGAATGGTTGACATCTTCTTTGTGTTACCCCTGCTTCAGTTAAACATGTGTTAAACAGTTGCTGTGCAGACTGCGTGACAAAGACTCTGGCTGCTTAACAAAGAATCACTGATCTCAATCACTTGCAAAGTCAGAGGTCACATGGTTCGTGTAAATGCCTTAGTTTGGAGAGAGTTCAGCCTCTGTAATTAGTTGAGTGACACAACATCTCAGCCAAGTATGAGCACATTTTATTATAACTTCAGTCAAACACAAAGGGAATTTAACATGAAGTGATAATCCACAATTTTCAGGCACAATAAAAATAATAATGAGGGTTCTTTGAGAAGACTTTAGAACCGTCATTAGGAAAACAATGTTGGAAAATGTTGGATAATAAAATAAAGTGGAAAAAACCTAGACTGTTGATTTAAACACTTCTTTCTGTATCGCATCCATCTATCTATCCGCTATCATTATCAACTTTTCCAGAGTACTATCATTTGCCAGCCAAGAATTTGACCAAAAAGCATCTGTTGTAAAAGTTTTTTTCCCCCTTATCTCCAGTGCCCCAGTAAAATCACCAACCAGCCTGGCAGAGAGTTCGGCAGCACAAAGGATTTCCCTGATTCAGTGCTGCACTTCGCCCGCAGCCACCCCCTGATGTGGCGACCGGTGTATCCAGCTCTGCGCCAACCCGTGCTTGTAAAAGCCAATGTCCCCTACAAGCTTAAGCAAATAGTGGTGGACCGAGTGGAAGCAGAGGATGGGCAGTATGATGTCATGTTCATTGGCACAGGTAGGTGCTTGTGATTCCTGTCAGAAACTTGATCAATGATCAGAGACTGGTGAATTGTTAATGAAGCCTATTTATTTAAGAACATGGGGTTAAATGTGGATGATTCAATGGGTCTCCTTGTCTTTCAGACATTGGCACAGTGTTGAAGGTCATCACTGTGCATGGTGGAAACAGTCTAGAGTCAGAGGAGGTCACACTGGAGGAGCTACAGGTCTTTAAAGTAAGTTTTACCATGTCCCTTTAAGTTTTTATGCATGTCTATAACATCTCTTCATTGTCTCCTAATATTCAAAGAAAAGTTGCTTGAATTTACTCTCAAGAACTAAGCAAATTTGCTTTTAAGAGAATTGGAAGTCTTTTTTCGCATTGAGGTTGAAGGTGAATTATTTTCACTGTTGCAGGTGCCAACTCCAGTTACATCAATGGATATATCTGTTAAAAGGGTAGGTTGATATTACTGTAATTTCAATATACTTCAATATACTAGATGTTATCTTCTTTATGCCTTATTCTTTTTTATCTTCTCCTCCCTTTAAATAGCAAGCCGTGTACGTGGGCTCTCCGGCAGGTGTGGCACAGGTGAAGCTGCATCGCTGCGAGACTTATGGGAAAGCCTGTGCTGAGTGCTGCCTGGCCAGGGACCCTTACTGCGCGTGGGATGGCTCATCCTGTGCACGATATGTGCCCAATAACAAACGACGCTACCGCAGGCAGGACATCAGGCATGGAAACCCTGTGCTGCAGTGTTTGGATCAGAACCTGAATGGTGAGTGTGACTACCCCTCGTCCCCTCGTCTTCTGTGCCCTCTTTGTTCATTATGCAGGACACGCCTACTTCCTCTGACTTCCAGCAGTTTCAGATAGTTTCCTGGCAACCTCCTGCTGACTGAGTCTGGACTACGCCCAGCCAAAATATGAACATAACCTCAATGTCAAACCTCAACGTTGGGTTTAAATTAGATATATCATATTATGAACTTTTGAGGTGCTGGTATGCTGATTTAGTTTGCTTTAGGAAGAGCCATGCTATTGCTGTTTCCCCCCATTTTCAGTCTTTGTGTTAAGCGAACTGGTAGATTGTTGCAGTTTCCTATTTAAAATACACGCAGTTGAGTGTGTAAATTGTCTAAATACGTTAATATCCCACAATGTTGAACTATTTCCAGATATGAATATAGATGTATAACTCCCCACTATGTTTCTTTACATGGTCAAGATTCTAGGACACAAATACTAAACATTTGACTCTGTAGCCATCCTTCATGAAGAACTTTTACATATCACCAGTGATACATGTTGTGTTTATAGTGCTGACTGGGTTGTCTTGTTTTTAAGGTCATGTTTTTAGTATCAGCTAAAACAGATTTTGATATCCTTTCAAAGACACTACAGGTGCCATGAAGACCAAGGCACAGCTGTCTTTACATTCTAAACTATTTAGCTGTAGATAGGGAGAAGACCAGTGAGACTCAATTTTGCTGTATACAGTATGCACGTGTGGTCGAGGGGAAGACGTGTGCAAACCTGGGTTGTACTGAAGATTGTTTGTATTTGTGTCTGTAAGGGTCAGAGCCTCTTTCCCAGGATGAAAGACAAAGAGTGTTTATGTGAGATGTCAGTCAGTTTATCTCTAGCTGTTTGTTTGTGCAGTAAATACAAACATGTTGCTGTCTTTACAACACAGTAAAGTACATTTTAAATTTGCTACAACCTAGAACTTATTTCACATCTTGTTGGGTTTTGAGACATTTGTTTTTAATCAAGAATAGTGTGTGTGTGTGTGTGTGTGTGTGTGTGTGTGTGTGTGTGTGTGTGTGNGTGTGTGTGTGTGTGTGTATGTGCATACATGTGTGTATACCTGTTTTTTTCATGGGTCAAGGTGGTCCCCACAAGTAATGATAAAAATGTTGGTCCCCGTGCAACATGATAACCAGTATGTGTATGTGAGAGCTCGAGAGAGAGGAGGAGCTGGGAGACAAATTACCTCAAACTTCTTCAATGATCACCCTGAGAAAGACACATAAGTGGTAGAAAATGGATAAAAGTGAGGTGAGGATAAGAGAAAGTGAGCACAGTCTAAAAGGAGAGAACCAAGGCTGCAGAGAGGGAGGTAAAAATAGAGGTGTGAAGGTGTCAAATGTGTGTAGAAGCAGAGATCAGGTGATGAAACATGCCTTCATTCAAGACTCTGGGTGAACCTGAGTTCAACAAGGTTCCTTTGTTCCAAAGTGTCAGGAAGTTGTTAAAGTAAGATTTCCACTTTCTCAGACATGCACTGCCTGTAACAAAGTCTTTCTACTGCCAGCACATTTAAAGTTCAAGAAGTAACACATAATATCTGTTTTGTGTAGTCTTTCAAATACTCATTAAAACAATCACAACAACTATGAAAACCGAAATAAAACTCAACAGCTCCAGTTTCATCAAGATCCAGGAATTACTCCCTGGAAAGATAGAAAATTAAGAAAATCGCCATATCATGCAAAGTTAAAGAAAGAAATCGGACCCCTGATGCAGTCAGGCAACAAAATTGAAAGGGCTCTTATCCGACCCATATCAAAACTTTACACAAAGTTTTGTGGAAAACTGTGGAGTTGTTTTTGTATTTTCTGGCTTACAAACCTCCCAACAAACAAATGGAGAGGCGTGAAAACTTCATTACAGGGCCATCTCCCATTCCCAGCCACGTGTGCTTGCACTTGGATTGTGATGGTTTGCTATATGCGACAGATTTGCCAGGTAAAATGAAATAATTTTTTTCTAAAGTTTGCACATGAAGACATCATCTTGCATGTGTGTAACAAGCAGACTGGACCTATTATATTAATATCTTGATTGTGCCGCCTTCAAATATCAGTGAAATACTGAGCACTGAAATGGTTTGTGTTGGTCAAAAGTGCAATTGTTTTCACAGCCTCAAGAAGGCAACATGCAAGTAATCCACCTGTCTGCACCTCATATTTAGATCAACATGGCCATGGGTGATCAGTTGGATGTATTTTTGCTACGCAAACAAGATTGGCACTGGACGGAACTGCATCAGTATAGAAACTAGCAAAGACACAGCCTTCCTAATTCTCTCTCTTTCAACCAGAAGACCTTGACATGACAGAGGACAGAGTGATGTATGGGACTGAGAACAACAGCACCTTCTTAGAGTGTGTGCCTCGCTCTCCGCAGGCTACTGTAACCTGGCTCATCCAACAGCATGACCACAAGGAAGAGGTAAGACAACAAACAAAGGGCCAAAGTAAATATCAAGAAAAGGAAATTCCTGCATATCAAAATAGTGTGTATCTCTGATAGGTAGAAGGTGGGGGAAGTTTTGAGAGACAGTCAAGGGATGATATGAAACTTCTGGCTAACAGTGGCCCGACTAACTGCCAGAAAAACGGAGAATTGTGAGTGAATTTGGCACTTGGCTGACACATTTGACAGCCATTTGACATATGGTTGAAATTGAGTAGTTATATTTCAAAGAAAAGTGCACAACCACTCTTTTGCTCTTGAATAAACAATGAATTCCTTGCAAACATGGACCACATGCCACTGAAAGCTGTGGTGTCACTCAGTGTCTACAGACCTCTGTGACTTCGGCACAGTGTTGCAAAGTCCTTTTCAAATTACTTCTTTGAAAATGATGATGTCCTGTATGAATGCCCACACCCACAGTAATTTTTCATCTGTTTGAGGTTATGTTTCTTCAAGCTTAACTGAGTACCTCGGTGAGCCATGCAAGAATTAAGGCATTACCACCCCTCCTCATTTCCCTGCAAATAAACATGTGGCTGCCACTCTAGCTAACAGGGCAGCCATGTTTGTGTTGGCACTGAACAAATGGAATAAGTCAGATGAGGATGTAGGAGGTTGATAGAGAAAAGTTCACGGGAGACATAGTTGAGGCAAGAAAATAGGAAAGAAAAGACAAAGAGAATGAGAGTAAATGGAAGGAAAAGAGAGTAAAGACCAACAGTGAATGTTCCTAGTGAATATGCAGAATCTGTAGGAGAGGGACTCTATTCTGGGGCTGGAAACCTTCTGGTTTCAGTTTCTGGTTTGACCAACCACATTTGAGCAGGCTTTGTTTGTTCTGTGTGGAGAGCAAGTACTAAATTAAATTATATTATTGATCTTTGTGTTTTGTGTAGGGAAATCAACTAGTGTGATAAAATAAACTAGTTGGCCTGTGAATGGTGTACGGCAAACAGAAGACTAAGTCTTGGCCCAGATATTGGCTGTTTACACTGGAAGCCCCAAAATCTTGGCCATTGCCCCCAGAGGCTAATTCGTTGGCTTTACAAGTCCTATTGTTCACTGCATTCATGTTAACTCACTTGACCACTTACAATAATTCCATATATGATCAAAAACCTTTGGAACATCTTCAGACAAGTATGAGTAAATGAGTTGAGAGACATAATGATTTCAGATACCTGCAGGGGCACTGCATGCTACTATTAAACAGTTAACATCCAATCATGCTCACTGGAAACTGCTGAGCAGGCTCAGCTGATTCTGATTTGGTATCAAGATGGTAACAAGAAGAAATCTAAATACCTTTGAAACAGAGTTCACAGTTGGGGCATAGATGTCAGAAGTTCAGTCACCAAGATCCTCAACTGATTTATGTTGAGGATCTGAGTCTCAGCTTCTAAACTGCACGTGGAGTTTTGTGACATTCACAAAGTGTAAGAGAAGCAACTAAATCTGAACTTTAAAAATGTCACCTGGAACTTTGTTGAGTCAATTTTAGTATAAAATATGATAGACAATAACAGTCTAATGTGAGATAATTGTTAAGTTAAGTAAAAGCTCTCTCTCTGGCTTCCTTAGGTGAAGTTAGATGATCGCGTGATGTCTACAGAGCAGGGTCTCTTGTTCCGTCGCCTCTTCCGCCAAGATGAAGGTGTGTACATCTGTCGCTCCCGAGAGCACGGCTTCACACAGACCCTGGCCCGCCTCACCCTCCAAGTGCTCCAGGGGGAGACCGTGGACGAGCTCATGGCTCGTGACAATGCCGGCCTCTCTGACTCGTTGAAAGACAGATCTACAGGTAGCTACAGGCCGTGGATGCCCTGCAGCGCATACACCAGGGGTGGCTCATCAAGCCAAATTGGCCAATCACGTACATGGTTCAAAGATATCATGCAACTGATTGGGCCGTCAAACCTGCCACATGTGGAGGAGTACTGCGAGAGAATGTGGTGCAACGACAAGCTGAGGAGGAAACACAAGAGCATGCTGGAGAAGTACCGGCAGGCACAGGAGAGTGCCAGGAAGGCTCGTAGCAAGAGCTCCGGAGAACGTAACCGGACGCCGCGGGATCTGACCGCATGGGAGGAGTAATGATGAGAATATGGGAGGGGAAAAGAAGGAGGAAATGAAAGACTAAAAACAGAGAAAGTTTATAGTGTAGGACAAGATAAAAGGGCCAACAAAAGGATCAAGACCAGCATCATAGTTTAAACCTAGTTGAATTTCAGGATAGGGGAGATCAGAACCATTTTTCCACTTTTGCTGGTCATCAAACTTTCATCAAACAGAATAGATTTTGTGAAATCAGTGTGTAGATCTGGTGCTCGACCTTGGATTTGACTGTAGCCCAGGAAAGATGTGTTTAGTTGTCTGAAAAGACAACTGAGCCAGAAAAGATGTTGAAACAGATAAAGAGAAAATAAGAGACAATCATTCACATACACTCTGAGGATGATATTTTAAAATCCTAATCACCAAGGACCCCCCCCCCCCGACAACTTTGTCAATGCATAAGAAATTACATAAACTGCTTAAGTCATACCAGTCAATCTTCACTGAGAAAACCCTCGACACTTAACAAACCTCAGATTTAAAAATGTATGCATGACTATGGATGGACTTTACCAAGAGCAGAGCCTGTTTTATGTCTGCTTTCGCAGCCTTGCTGACTCTTTGATGAACCGTGTGTTGGCTCATATTATTGTGTTAATTGTCTCCTGAGACTTCAAGCTGCACTAGGCGGGTTTTTTATTGTAAAGATCCAGTTAAATTGAAAACTGGTGCTTCGAGGGAGAGGAACGGTACATCTACATACCGTACCTTTGCATCTTCAGACTACAGCAAATTTGCCAAATGCTGTTTGGACACACACAATTATTTAACTTTCTTTTTCTGACCAGATTGGTGACATTTCACTGGATTAATATCTTTTGTCTTTAACAGCCCATATCTCCTCACTTGTTCTGCTCTTGACATAGTTAAAACATTCATGCTCATGTGTGACTTTATTCCAAGACACGACGGCCTCTGCTGTGTATTTGTTGAAGGCAAATGAGCTAATGAAGCACACGTATTTAACATGCTCTGTAACACACACACACACACACTCTGTCTCTCTCTCTCTCTTACATAAACGGACATCCCACTCACCCATAACACTGAATGCATAGCCTTATCTAACTCAGACTGGAAGCTACCATGAGACGACTGTTGATGGTTCAACAGATTAAAGGCACATTGCTTTATTTTTACTGCAGTGGGTTAAATTTTCCATGAAACACCATCTAACACCCTCCTCACTGACCCTTAGAGGCATATTTCACAGAGGCTTATTTTCATGCTTTTGGTTTTCATACCACACGCCCTCTTGGAATGTACCTAAAGCTCACACTAAATGCTTAAAATTCGCTGTCAAGGGAAACCTTAGGCAAATCTGTTGAATCATTTATCTTAATCTTAAGTAAGATTTCATTGTTAAGTATGCATAAAAGAGCCTATGAAACCAGCAAAGATCTTCAGTTGATAATTTGGGTGATAAACTGACTCAATTCAACAAGCTAAACTTAACTAACCTCATCTCACATGTTAATCAGCCACTGAACTCCCTTTCTCACAGTTCCTCTGTCTGCCTTAGCTTTCCAGTGACAGTGGAGGGAACAAGAAGGGTCAAATGTAATGACTAACGCTTTTTTTCTTTCTGCTTTGGAAACACTGGTTCATGATTTGAACACATGATAATCCACCTTGCTATTGTCATCAGATTTATTGTGAAAATATAACTTTCCATGTTACACAATTGTTTTTTAGTTATTTTCACAAGGCAGGGGAAGCACCATAGCACTCACAGCAATGTCACAAGGCAGGAAGAGTAGTGGGCCCTGGCCCCTAATATGATGGCATATCATATAATATATCCCTCCATCCTCCAAAAAAAGAATTAAACACACACACAAATAATTATGAAAGGAAAGAAGAACAGAAAAATAGATAAACAATTATAAACTGTTGTAACATAATATGTGTTCTTTTAATTTAATTTGAAGACAGCTACATATATAACACAATCACAAAGTAGCCAAGTACAGTAGGAGCCAAAGAACTGAGGGGACCAACATGGCTGCCAATGTGTTACCTCATGTGAAATCCTTTTAATGGAGTATGGTATATATTTTCTGTGAGCCCAATATTTGCTTAAAATTAGCCAGGGAAGCAGAGCTGCACCTATGAACTTGGTGACTTCTTGTGACCTGTGTGGCATGTGAACGGCCTCTCAAGAGGTCAAATGAACAGAGAGGAGGAACGGAGATGAAACAAAGAAAAGAGCGAGAGATTCAAATAAAGGTACGATAAGAAACTTGTGAAGGCTGTATTTACTATTCAAATTATCCTAATTAATTATCCCGCATTTCATCAATATGAAAAAGTGAAACATTTTTTTCTGATTTGTACAAAACACTAAAGAACATGTTTTTTTTGGTTGGGGATTGAGAGACTGGCTGTGTGACTGCAACTCTGGTATTTACTGTAAAAAATATTGCTCTAAAAAATTGAAAGAATGATACAGTTACCGGGATGAAATACACTTTATTGATCTTTTAAAAAATCCTTAATAATAGTTCATTTTCTCTGTAACAGTTATTATAGTTTAATTTTAAATCTGCTCTGGTCTATAAAGATAATAACAAAATCTGCCTTTTATTTGTATGTTGTGGTGGTGGTACCAGATTTGTTTAAGCTTCTGCCTTTCTAGGTCCTGAATTTCTGTCATTAGAAAAGGTTGTCCTGTAACTTTTACAACAATGATTGTGAGATGGAACCACAAAAATAAATGCTGACACTCTTTTTGCTGGAGAAGTCAATGACACAGAAAGCAGGAAAAAAAGCTCCATCACTAACCAAATATCAAAAGAATTTCAGTACATTTGTACAAATTGTGTTGTGGTATTGCATCTGATGTTTTATATATTTACCTCTCTAGCTAGTTGTGTTTGGTGCAGTTTCTCAATACTTTCTTTAAGTTGTTTGGAGTTAAAGCATTTGTCTTGCCTTAATGTTGAACTGCAGTATTTTACAGTGTATAATGTATAATGGACAGCTGATAGATGTGTTGTTTGTCAGGGATTTAAAAACTCATGGACGTTGCTGTACTTTTTGTAAAACTGGGGAAGTGTTTCAGTTCTGTTGAACTATAGCAGGCGATCTCACTGATCAGCTAATCCTCCTGATTGTGCTGAGCTGATTCATTAATACGTGCACAAGCTTCGACACCCACGGCTGCTCTGCAGGAAGCAGTCAGGAGGTTCAACCAGTGGTAGAATAAGAGCCCCATCACATATACTTAATATAAAGCAAATATCGCTGATCAGAGTTTAGCAAAGCTGAACTCCATGCGAAGCCACAATTTGCCTCGTCATAGGAAGAACAATGTTTCAATCACTTCCTCACTCTCACAGATTGAAAGTAAACGGAAGGCAAAGGTTCGTCTCTGAAATATTTGCTAATGTGTAAAGATTCTTCTGCCGACTCTGGCAGCAGTCCAATGGGCAAACTATAATTATTATATTGAACTTGAGAGGTTCAACAAGCATGGTTTCTGTACAGATATTTTTTAGTACAAAAAACACCACATACAATATAGAAATTAGGCTAAAAGATGGAAGGATGGTTGGATCAGAAATGAGCATTATCTTGGTGTAATGTCCCTTTATTGTACTGTAAAAAATGTTTGCTGGCTGTGGAGTCTCTGACACAAAGAGCCTAATTTAAGTGTGTATTTATGTTTTATTTAAGTGTCTTTCTACCATGCATGCTGTGTAGTTGTATGCTGTTTAACAACATTAAAGGTTGATTTTCTAACATAAAGATGGTCCCTGACTGAATATGTTAAAGATTAAGATTTACTCAAAGGGGGGGGTGGGGGAGGCCAACTGGATAAGACTAATGGCGCCAGTGAGATAAACAGAGACCAAACAACAGCGGCCTGAAATGAGCCACTTTTATAAACTATAGCTTTTACCCCACTGAAAGAAAGACATGCTCTATTTAATACTGAATCAACAACATGCAGACTGCACACCTGCAACAAGGCTGTTTGGTATTTAATGTCAGGAAGGAAAAGACCGGCTCTATTTCCCATGTCTACTTTAATTTAGTGTGTGTGTGTGTGTGTGTGTGTGTGTGTGTGTGTGGGTGTGTGTGTGTGTGTGTGTGTGTGTGTGTGTGTACTTGTACTTATGTCTCTATGAGGACCATTTTGGCCAGTCCTCACTTTCTGACCTTCTTTGGGCTGTTTGAGGAGTAAGACTTGCTTTTAGGTTTAGGGTTTCAAATAAAGTGTATGTTAGGTTTAGGGGCTAGGGTATGTATTTCTGTATTATGTATGAGTGTCCTCACTAAGATTGAAATGTGTGTTTGTGGTCCAAGTATTACTCATGGGGACACATCATGGGGGCTTGTCTTTGTTATGGTGACAAAGAGCATGTCCCTGTAATCTAAATCATTACATTTTAAAGAGACAACATTTTAAAGGTTAAGTTAGGTTTAAGTTAGGTGTTGTCTTAAGGCTTATGGTAAGGCAAGTAGTAACTGTGGTCTCCAGGAAATCAATGTAAGTCAAAGGAATGTCCTCTAAAATCGCAGAGACATATACGTGTGCGTGTTTGTGTCTTTCTTTCTATACATGTCAAAATATTCTTTAAAATGTTTGTTAAACTTTAATTCACAGGGGTTAGAAAATGAATTCAGATCATGTAGGTTTAACACAAATGTATGAAGGCATTTCTCACTGTAAAACCTCTTGGTGGAATGTGTACATTTTTGTGTTCAAGCTAGCAGGAAGATGTGGGTGTGTGTGATTGCAGATTTACAGACCCAATTTGACCCATTAGGTTGCCCGGTTACTGGGTCATGCGTGTGATTGGAGGATAATTGGGTTGTAACATCTGTGGAAATGTGCAGTAACAATGGCCGCTTGTCGCTTAGGCAAACAGACCATCTCATAAAAAACAAGCCTGCAATGCGACTTCACACCTTAAGAATTACTGCCACCACATAAATACGCACAGATATAGAATTAACGTATGCGTGTAAAAAGACCCACAAACTGGCACAAATGTTCCCACACTTTGCCATGTGTAAAAACTTCAGAATGTCCGTTCGAAGGTCACACACACTGTGTAAACACTTTTGTTGGGTCAAGCCTCATTGAAAAGTTCTAATTCTCAACGTTCTTAATGTGAAAGCGTGTGTTCACGTGATTCTCCTTGTGAGCAAATCCACTGATCAGGGCAAATGCATTTGAATGAACTGACGCTGCCATTTTGGATGCTCATGTAAGTGACCCTTTATGGATGTGAAGCAGGGTAAAACCTTTCAGGCTGTGGGTTTTGAATCTTTATCACGTTTTCCAAAACTGCTGGAGCTTCCTCAGCCCCTCCATTTGTTGCTGCATATTATCAACTCGCTTGATCTGCACTTGAAGTGATGCATACACCTGTATCATTTCCTCCATAAACAGCAGCTCTGTGGTGGAGAAGAAAAGTACATAAATCAGTGGGACTGGCTGTTAACTGAAGTCCTATAAAGAGAAGTGACCTGGACAAGAAAAAACAGCAGCTGCTATTCCGACATCTGTTCATTTATCCCAGTCACCTCAGCGGAGTGTGCAGAACCACCTGTGGATTTTATTTTAATAATTGATGTGCTTTCTTTGTGTGTGTGTGTGTGTGTGTGTGTGTGTGTGTGTGTGTGTGTGTGTGTGTTAGTCACACATCATTAGGGAGCTGCAGACCTCAGCTTATAGGCCTACCAGTGTTCTGGGCCATTTGGAAAGTTTTATCTTTCTTTCGGTCTCCAGTAAAACAAGAAAAAAACGATTGAAATTCACTTTTTTTGAGAAAACAACAAACACTTTTATTACTTTGATTCAGAGTAAATTATCTTGATGTCTACTGAAAAAAATAAAGACCAAACAATGGCATGGTATACATTTTTCTCTGGTTTAAATAGAAAATTCAAAAGCAATAAAAATTGACAAAATTTAATACCTTAAGGGGTAAAACCTTGTTCCATATTCCGCACTATATTTTCTGTAGATAGCCAATATGTCCAGAAGATGATACTTTCCATTCACAGTATGTGGTTTTCCTTATTTTTGTTCCCATCTCACTACGCACAAACAATTACAGTCTGCAGCTGGCACACATGTAAAACAGAGTTCCCACAATTCTCAACTCTGTAAAAAAAGCTATACTCAAATATACCAAAGACATAAAAAAAACCTGCTTCTTAGCCAAGTTACAAACAAACCCCACACTGCTTTCTTTATTGTTTTTTCTCTCACGTGTCTCAAACACTCAGCAAATCTTTACTTTTAAATGTACCATATTTTATACCTTTTCTATTTTTTATTTTATCTTTTAGTTTCCACAAGAAGATATGTCTGTGTTAAATCTGCCTCTCAGAGTGACTCTTAGTTCCTGTTTTACTTTGAATTTAAATTAAATAGCATGTGTTGGTTGTGTGTTCATCTGTGAATGTACCTCTCCCTAGTACTTTTACATTTTTTGTGCTTGTTTTTTTTGTTTGTCTGTTTGTTTGTTTTTGGTCTGTCTTTTGCTAGCCTGTGTTCATTTATTATTTATTAGAACCTGCTTCAACCTGTGAAGCGACCATAGTAAACCATCTTAATTTGTGACTTTTAAATAACAAAAATGATCCCAATATAGATTTACATCATTTCTCTCATGCTTTTCTTTGGACCTGAGGCCTGCACTACAAAGTGAGTTCAACATACCCCAGATATCTTTTTGTAATCCGGCTCAAACAATCGCAGTCTGGCTAAGCAGTCACACGAAGCTGGTTTCTAACGCTTTAAGTCAACCCAGGCTTTCCTACTTAAGATCTGAGTGTATAGCGATGCAGACAGTCTGTATTACTGTGAGCACATTGCTACTACGTGCCAAGTTGGTTATGTTCGGCTCCAACAGCTGACAAAGGTTTATCATACCCTCTGATGAGGATCTATCTTTCATTAACATCAGAGTAGGCAGAAGGATTTTGTCAGTCTCTGAAGGCCCTTGTCCTCCCTAGAGACCCTCTGAGAATCCACACCGAGCCTCTCAGGATCCTTCTTTTTCTTTTTATGGGATCCTCTAAGAATGATGATGTCATGTTTCAAAGGAACTTGGTCAGTGGGACGGTGCTTTTATACCGCTTGATCTCTTATTTCCAACTTAACCTGCTGCGGAACAGGTTAGCTGTTCAGCATAAGTTACCATGGTGAATTACCTCGATACAAAATGAACAAGCTTCGTAGGTCTTGAAAAACCCTAAAGTTACCCCGATAACCGCAAATCCTGCGTCGTAGTACAGGCCCCTGGTCTCTGAGCCTCTCCTCTGATTGGCTGACCAACACACAGCCAGCACAACTCTATATCAGATATCTCTATCAGATATCTTGACAGCTCGTTGTATAGTGACCGCAATTTCTGAACACAGCTGTATGCTTTTCTCAGTGGACTGAGCGTTTTAATACATTCAGCTAAAGTTTGTGTTGATTAAATGAATAACTTAATTGAATTGTGTATTCAAAATAATTCAACTCAATAATATCCAGAGTTATACTACAGACCATTCCAAAAAGGAACTGCTGAAATTAATCTCAATGTAACTTTTGATGGACTAAGACGTTACAGAAGCTGATTAGAGATTAGTTTCAATACGAGGAGGACTTTCTGTCCACAGGTTCCCTGTAAGGATGCAACTCTCTGCAGTGCTCAGTAGTCACCCTTTATTATCTTAATCTGTCTAACTATATTTGACAATATTACAGCTCAATACACAGATAAATTACCCTGTTGAAATCAGATATTTCAGTCCCACAGTTTCATTTGGCTGATCACAGCTGCACAGAAAACATTATTTCTTCATATCCGAATTTGACATGTAATAAAACCACAGGTTGGTCACAGTTGTCATCATCTCTGAGGTGTTGTTTGGTGGGACTGGGCAGATCGGAATCTCTGCTTCTGACAGAATTTTGGTCTCATTCTGTGGGATAAATGACCTTTCGCTAAAGCTGTGATTCAAGTGTGCACGTTCCTCTTTTCATGTTTGTGGGGTTTGTTGATGTGCACACAGCTACTCCAACTAATGATAAGAAGATTCATACCACAATTAAAGCTTTAGTTTATATTTTGTTGTTGTTGTAAATTATACAGAGTATATACAATAGATACATGTTTGTCATCTCTCTTGGGGCTTTACTTGCAGCTTTGGGCATACAATCCTTTTGGGGCTATCCAAACTCTGAGAAACCATGGGAACACACTTGACCAGTTTACAGTCATTAGAAAATCTTACAATCATATGTAAACACAGCCAAGATCTCAGAATAACTCGTTCAAAGGTTTAATTAAATAAGTCTACACGCATACTTTTCATTGACCTAATGGCCTGAAATGAATGGACTTAAATTATTGTAATGATGCCATATTCATTGTTTAGCAGTTGATGCACTGTGGGAATTTTTGACATGGTCTGATAAGAGCAGAGTGACAAAGTGTTTTTAAAGTGTTTCTTTTAAATGCTGTTGAGTCTATAGCAACTCACACACAAAACATGTTGTTGCCCACCTCCTCTGTTTCCTTTGCAAAGACCAAACATTTTGTTGCATTCCTGTGTCTGCTGAGATCTCGAGATGGATGAAGCAACAACCCTGTGTCCGGTCTAAGTGTTAATGTAATTCAGATACTTTTAACATTCAACGTTGTGGGATTGAGCAGCTTTATAACCTCAGATTTAGGTCTATTACAACACCTCCCAGGAGTGTTATTGTTCAGAGGCCGTTCTCCCAGTCAGCC